AAAAAATATCTCAACTAATAAGAGTTTAAGATTTAAGTTAAAAGTTTTAAGTATGTATATTAAGATAGGTAAAAGAGAGATTTGAAAGATGGAAGGGCTATGTCCTGTCATGAATGGTCCGGGCAAATTTGATGTACAAAGAAAAAGCACCCGCAGTTCTCCATTGAAATCTATAACAGGCAGATTTGAGGAACAATAGCTAAGAGGAAATCAAACTCCAAAGTGGCAATGGCTCAGATCAAAATTCTTTCTGAAAATGGCTACAGACCTTTTTATCTGAATGATTTCCAGCAAGAAACATGAACATGGATGGTTAATAAACCACACAAATTTCTCTACATGATTAGATCAAAACAATGTCATGTCATTCGTACCAAGAAATGGATATTTGACATGCTAGCAGACCTAGATATGTTCAAATTAGGAAATCTAATTTATCCTACTTCTATATGATAAAAATCCTAAGAATAAGTATTAGCCTGTGTGCCTTCCCATCCAAAATTTCAAATGATCCAAACTCTAAAGGTCTCTGGGTGTAATATACATCTTGGTGGAGAGGGGCTTTTCCTGTTACAGGAAACGCTAAATATGAGTAATGCAATTACATTTCCAACATAAACATAAAGTTGAGAAAAAGGCAGTGCAGTTTTCAAAAATGGGAGTATAGAACATAACCTGCTTGAGATAACAGCCGCATCCGCAATTAGTCATTGGATATGCATGTCCTCAACAAGTGATTGAAGTGATCATTGTTTTGGTCAAAAAAGAAAAATAAAACAGGCAATTGAAGTGAGCTCTAGATCAAAGAGATACCATCAAAAGTTCATTAAGCAATAACTCTGTTACCTATTCCAAGCGCATCAGAAAGTTATGAATGATTATGCAAAGAGATAATAGTGTAAATCTAGGATAAGAATGCAGACTAAAGAGTCAATGGATAATAATATCAAAAGAAATGTTTCAAATGCCATGTGAAAAGAAGTTCGTCAGTTTGTTAACAATAAAAGATTCAAGATATCATATTTACTGCAAGGAAATGAACAATACAAGAAAAAACAAAGAAAAAGCATCATATGGGAATTCAACGTACAGGTCTGAAAACTACCTAATGTATTTATATAGAAAATGCAGGTTACCATAGAATGAATATACGTAAAAGATTTATTTTGAAGCAACCATTAAACTTTTCCATGTTCTAAACCAGGATAACGTAAGCTACAACAGAGGCACAGAGCTGCTTCCCAAGGATCTACTTTTCAGGAGGAGCAAAATCTGACTCATGTAGAAATTTGAATCAGACTATATTGAGGGTGCCAGAAAATATGATGATTTGGAGTGTTAAAATAAGTTAAATAACTGCATAGAGAAAATTCGATACATACCATGTGGCCAACATTAAGAAGTGCTACCATTTTGAACTAAGCTATTTTTTCTTTTCATTAATTATAACTGAGAACACTAGGGCAAGAAAAAGAAAAGTGAAAAACACAAAAAACAGATAAACTGAAGAATGGTCCTAAATCCTGAACATTAGTCGCAAATAATCTAGAATTTTACATTTAGTGTACGCACATGTCAGCCACCCGGTAACCATTGATGCTGAAATTTAAATGCAACCTTGCCACCTGATTCAAAACTTCCAACAGCTACCAGAACAAATTTCCTTGGGCAATATTATAAATCTCTGTAAGAGGATGACATCAAAATTCAGAAAAGGGTATAGAATTTAATGTAAAACCTGGATCATAGATCCAATATGAACTTGAATCTTATGGTCAATTAGAATGATAATTTGTTGGTTTATGTGCTATCCTCACTCTTCAGAAGCACAGAGACAAATCTTCTCAAGCTGTGTTGGCCAATCTTGACCAAGTAAATGAGGATTCAATTCCATTGCAACTCGGAAATCCAGAATGGATGCATGGCAAGGCTTCTTTGACCTCTGCAAGTAACTCTGGGGTAACATCCCATTCAAACTTGGAACAAACTGAAAATTGGGTTGCTTCAGGGGCTCATTTCCAGATGTTGACACAGCTAAATGTACACAGGGCTCTATCAATCCTTTTAAGTAGGCATCCAATCCGTTATTCAGAAGGTTTACACAGTCCAGTGGGACACTAATTCCCTTCATCTCCAACTTCTGCTCCAAACGACTTCTTAATGATCTCGTATCAGGTAGCTCACCACAATTTTGACAGCTCTCTGAATAGTAATTATTACTTGTCAAACTGCTAGTCAGTGTTTTGCGAGTTCCACCAAAATTAATGGAGATACCAAGAGGAGCAGTAACAGGGCTTCTACTCTGAATGCCCGGGCTTCCTGCTGCTTGCTCAACCTCTTCACCATCTTCGACAGATGCAACTTCAACTGGAGGTCTGCTCCCAAGAGAAAGCAATTCAGTTGGACTTTGCAGCTCCTGTACCTTGGAAACTGATTCTTCATATGAAACATTTTTGGGCTTTCCAAGGGGTCCCAGCAGACTTGGGCGATCCTGAAACTTTCGATCACGGTTAACCGTAGATCTTCCCTTCCGAGGGGAAGGAGGAAATGCATCCCCATAAATAGACTGAAGACAATTCCTTGGATACGCATTAACATTAAGGTTGCTTCCCACTCTTCTAGTAGCTTTAAGTGGTGGAACTTTAGCATTGCAGGCATTCTTGATAATTGATCTTATAAGCTGATTATGAAGAGGGACATTTTCCCTACCAATTGTCCTGATGCAAGACTTATCAAATTCATTCTTGCTAATCTTCAAACTACACAATCTTCTTAGCTGATCAAAGTACTTCTCTGCCCTTTGATGCCCAATCTTTCTTATAATCAAAGCTCTGAGCTCCAAAGTATCCACACGAACAAAACTTCGATCGGTTAACATCTTGCACTCCAAATTTCTTATATTCCCTCAAATTACCTCATTGAAAACTTGATTCCACTCAAAACCCTAAAACCCTAAACTTAAACCACGTTCCATCTGCACATCAACCAAAGTTTCATCAATATATCACCATAACAACACGCATTATCCTCAAGTACCATACTAAAACATAGAAACCCCAATTAGAAATTTAGTTCAATATCTCCAAAACTCCAAATCCTATCATCTATATCAATCGATGAATACTCATAGGAGCTAGCAAAAAAACCCATTAAAACAAACGAAAGAAAACAAGAAAGAAAGTGGAAATATAGCGTAATTAAGGAATCATGAAGACAAAGTTGCAGAGACGGTAATCGAACAAATTTATAAGATTTAAGAGGTAATTACCAAAACCAACACACACCCAAATGAAATCTCGGTAAAAATCGAAGACCCAGAAGGCGAATTGAGAATTGCAAAAAGTAAGGCTAGATATGCATCGAGCTGCGTCGACGCCGATGTCGATTTTGGCTATGAATTCTGGTTTTCCTTTCTTCGGCAAAATTTAGTAGTGTTTGGTCATTAGTTAAATCCAAACAGGGAATTAAGATGTCGGGATTCTGTCGTCCCGTCCCGTGTCCGTGTCATTGTTAAAACAGGACATTCGTCCGCTTTTTACACATTCTTGGTTCGGAGTTGGGACTTTTTTAACGGCTGTTTGTTTCCATCTTCTGTTGTGCATTTCCCCCTGCTTTCATTTTTTTCCCATACCAAGTCTTTTATATATATATCTATATATATTTTTACGTTTTATTGGTAAAAGTTATAGATTTTATTAATAATTAAAAATAATAAATCGACTTTATCCATGAACATCTTGTTTCAACATAGTAACATGGATTTTGCATTAGCGTTGTTCACATTTTATGAGTGATACATTCGAATTTTATGAAAATTTTTTAATTAATATATGAAAATAATTTTAATTTAAAAAAAAATCAACTTTGTCGATGACGAGTGCTTTATAAACAATAAAATTAATTATTTATAACACTAACATATATATATATTATATGTAAATGAGTCAATTAAGTATTACGAGTCTTTTACATTAATAAATATTACAGAGATGTCGACAGTTCATACAAAAAGTTACTCCATTTGTCGATGACGAGTGCTTTATAAACAATAAAATTAATTATTTATAACACTAACATATATATATATATATTATATGTAAATAAGTCAATTAAGTATTACGAGTCTTTTACATTAATAAATATTACAGAGATGTCGACAGTTCATACAAAAAGTTACTCCATTTGAGCATCCAGAAATTTTGAATAATTGTACCTATAACATCGAAACTCGGAAAGAACAAAGAATGATACTACAACAGTCCCCAACCCACTATAGCAACCGATATATAGATAGAGATTATCCATTGGGTGGATGAGAATCATCTACTTTCATTGCCAAGGCAGCACCTACATTACCAATTAAAACCTTTGCGGCACAACCTTGCTTCTCATATCCCAGCCTAGATTTCTGCTTCTTCCCTTTCTCGCATGCCTTTTGGGCTCAAAGATGATGCCTTGCATTTTCCAAACGTTTTCCATTTACCTCCTATCCCTTTCATGTTGAGACGTCTCACTTGAGCTAAAGGAACATCAACTAGGAAAGAATCATGTTTTGGTTGCTTCACGAGCTCTAAGCTTCTAGTGAACGCTCAAATTGCTCTAGTATTTGAAAACCCCAAGCAAGTGTTTTTAGGGAAAACACTCCAATATTTAAGTTAGCAATAATTAATTTTTAGAGAGAAACTTTAGAAAAACTAAATATTACAAAGAGAAAAGTGTAGTAGTGGAGTTATTATTTTTAATAGAAGTAAGAAATGAGTATTTATAACTTCATTTGTGACACTAATGTCACATGTTATTGTCTTATTGACCCATATACTGCTGATTACGTGAATAACTAGTCATGTGAATAAGTTTTCACTATTCATATCTGTTTTTTTAACTCTTATTGTATTCCAAAATCCAATTAATGACTTTAAGTTAACGTTTGGCCACCTTTCTAACAGATCAAAATTATTATGG